CTGGCCGCCCCGAGAACGAGACGAAAACGGCTCGGAAATACTGTAACTGCGCTGCTCCAGGGCGGCCTGCCCACGGCATCACGCTCGGCCGCCTAGAAATTCTCCCTGCACGGCTACTGCGCGAACCCGTGCTTCTCCCCAGGTCGCCCCTTCTCTGCCTGTTTTCCCAAGCTGGAAGAGAAAACAAACATGGATGGACTTACCGGGAAAATCCGTGGGTTTGACGTAACAGCACCGTGCGGCATTTTCTGAAAGGGGTGGGGGGGAAACACAAGGGAGGGAGGGGGCAGGGAAAAATGAGCGTTACCCAGATGAAGTATAAAGGATTTCCACAGCAGGGATGACGACCCTTCTAAACCACAAGCTCTACTGAGTACAGGCTCGTTAAGCCAGGTTCCTAGTTAAGGAAACAGCCCAGGCTAAGAAAACGACACCTCACAAGCAAGATGAGAGGGCAGCAGTGCAAGGCCTGTCCCATTGCCGCCGCACCGGCCATGCCCCCTCCCCACACCAGCAGCTGCAGCCCCCTTATCCCCAGGGTCCCCGTTCCCCCGGGAAAGCAGCGATTAAGAGGTGGCTTTCTGGCTCCCGGGCTGGGAGAGCTGGGTTTGTTCAGCCTGGAGCAGAGCAGGCTCCGAGGGGATCCCATCACCACGGACCAGTCTTTAAAGGGTGGCTACAGGGAAGACGGAGACTCCCTTTTCACAAGGAGTCACAAGCCAAAGACGAGGGGCAATGGGTGCAAGTTATCCTGGGGAGATTCCAACTGGACACGAGAGGGGAATGTTCCCCCATGAGAACAGTCACCCGTTGGGATAATCTCCCCAGGGCAGGGGTTGGCTCCGCCACGCGGGGCACTTCCAAGCCTCAGCTGGACAGGGCGCTGGGCCACCTTGGCTGGGCTGGGCTCTGGCCCGGAAAGGTTGGCCCGGATGATCCTTGGGGTCCCTTCCAACCCGGATTCTGTGATTATTTTTAATTACTTATGCTGTTGTATAACAAAGTCCGGGCATCCCCCAATGTCTTTAAAAAGATGTGATGTTAGAAAAAGAGAAAATAAATGTTGTTATTGTAGCAGAGGGTGCTTTTTTAGAAACACCTTGTGGATGACGAGCAGCAGGTAACCTGTGTGTAGCACTCTGTCTAAGAGCAAGAGAAGAGAAACTACCCCAAGGCCAAGTAATGGGTGCAAATCTTTTTGGAGGGGAAAGGCCATGTTATAAGTCTTAACGTTCACGCGGAGCAGAAGGGACCTTGGCTCCTCTTACAGACTTGACAAACTACAAAGTGAGCTGGAGGGAATGCTCAGCAGATGAATTCGGGGGTGCCTTTGAGATTCTACTAATAATTTGTTCTTTACATGCCACCTCCAAAGCACCCCACTGCTGTAGCCGTGCCTAGATGCTTCTGTGACTTAAGCAGAGCGGCACTCGAAGCATGTCAGGGGTGCTGTGCTTCTGGAGCAAGGTAAGAATTATTTTGTAATCTGGGAAGACGCTGGCCCAGAGGATGCAAAGCCCAAGTGAAGGAAGCGGCGGATAAGTAAAAGCCAGCTGGGCAGGCTGTGTTTAGCAATGCGGCTGACCTCTTTTCCGTGCCTCTGTAACCACATCTGTTCCATCCTTCCACAGCACAGTCAGCATCTGGAACCTGTCCTCAAAAGCAAAGATACTCCCTCAAACTTGTGAGTTTTGATCTGTTTGGGTAAGGAATAGCGCATAGCGTGCTGTGTCCAGGGCCCGACCCATTCGGCCTGTGTGGCTAAGAGTGTCCGAGGATTTCAGAGAAGGTGGTCACAGCGACCCCTTCTTGCTTAGGGGACAGATGTAACTTCCTCAGAGTGTCGTGCTTGGATTTCAGTAGGAGTTGGCTCTTCCACTAAAGGTGGGAAGAAAACAGGTATAAGGATTAAAAAAGGAAAAGCCTTCATCCCAAAAGGTTGCCTCTTCAATCCCCCGAGCTCTGTAATCTCCCAAACTGAATTTGGTGGTGTAAGGTAGAGATCCTGACTCATTAATGCCAGACCTGCTTTTCTCCTGTATGGCTGCTGAAGGCTGGGGAAACTGGAGAGGTTCGAATTTGGTGGCTATGCTGAGGCAGCGTGATGAACCAGCACTGAGAGACTGTAAGGCCAGGGCACGTCTTTAACTCAAACAGCAATTACAGTTTGAGTTCCGAGCCAGCTTTCCAGGCACTTGCCAATAAGTGGGGCTCTCCAGAAATGTGCTATTTCTAGCAACAGTGGCTCTGCAATGGAAATTCAGGTGATTGATTTCCAGTAACTCGCAAACCAGAGCAGAAAGACTTTTTTTCTCGTCTGCTGTGGCTTCCTGGGGGTTGCTTGTCTGTGGGAAGACCAGTGCTGAATAATGCCTCTGGGCGGGAGCTGGTGGTGCCCGCTCTTGAAAAATCCCTCTCCCTTTTGTCAGAGAAGAGGGGTTTGAGAGGATGGAGAAAGAGCACGGCGTCCATGAGAAAAGACAGTTAAGTGCCACAAAACTAGAACTAGTTGGGAAACTGTAATCACTTCTGTACGCCACGCTCCCAACTCCTCTGGTTTGCACCTTCGGCATCTTCTGGCGTTTTGCTCAGTAGTCTGACGGTGCAGCCCAGCATCGTGGCAGCAGAGGACTGCGCAGCGTGATATACGGCACGCGAGAGCGCTTTGGCTCCTGGGTTTGAGGTTCAGATCGGCTCACTGGGCAAGGTGCAGAATAAAATATCCTCTGGAACGTGGTCGTCTGTGGTGCCTGGAGCCTGCTGATCCTCCAGCTGCCTTGGCCATTTGTGGGCAGGGCCTTTGGTATCAAACCAGCCAGAAAATAAAACTGCTGCCTCCTCCCATGCCTAATAGCATCTGTCCCAAGTTAGCCTGCAGTATGCTATGTATATGTATACACAGACACGTGTGTGCGTAGGCAAATACACACGTATTGACTGTATATGCATTTCAGGTCACTCGATAATAGCAGTAGGAAAAGGGCAGTAATGCTTGTGGGTTTAAAAAGATGGGTTGTAAGGTGTCAGCACGCTGCCCAGAGACCTGAATGTCACAGACTTCCCTGTCTCGCTTCCTGACAGCCAGACTAACATGCTACAGTTCTTCGTTGGGACTTGCCTGTTTGCAGCAATAGCCTCATCTGTGTTGTGGATAAGGAGGTCGCCCCTGTCTCCTTTTAAAATAATAGCGCTGGGACTAGCACTTGCTCTGGTTGCCAGGTGGCCTGCACTGTCTAGATGGGTTTAACCCATGGTTCTAAGCGGTAGTGCCTGAAGCATCCAACGTGAGACGGCCGCTCCCTTGTTCTGTGCTGATGCTCAGAGGTTATATGGCTGTTGGGCACAGCGCTGAGTAGCGAACCAAAAGTCCTGAGCCCTGTTCTCAGCTCTGTTGCTGATCTGGTATTTGATTTTTTTTTTTTTTTTGGGGAGGGTGACGGGTTGTTGCTTTCTTTAAAATGCGTAGTGAAGGTCGTGTAGCAGTCTTGCCCAAGTTTCCCTTTCTAGCAGGGTGTGTGTGGCTGAAGTAATGCTCCTCCTTCCCGTTCCCTTTAGGATGTCAAAGATGGCAAGATCTACAATGAACAGAACTTCTTCCAACGAGCTGCGAAGGCAGGCACAGGTTGGTGCTTCTTGGAAGGGCAAGGACTAGGCTGCCTGTTAGGAAAACTGGCATCGCGCTCTCATCGGCTGTGTGAGTCTCCCAGAAGGCCAGGCTGGAATAAACGAATTCACTGCTTGGTTGGTGCCAGAATGCTGAGAAGTTTGGCCAAAGAACCTGCTCTCCTGGGAGTCTCAGTGTACCTTAGGACACTGCAGTGCTGGCATTTTGAAGCTTTCTTGCTCTACCCACGCGTTGTCTTGATCTCAGCGGTGGCTGTTGAGCCCCGCAGCCTGGCCTGCCTTGGCTCCCTCTCCTCTGCCCCTTCCATGGGCGTTGCTGGCAGCTGCTCTCTGGGATTTACTCCATTGACCCAAAAACCCGAGCAAGAGCGAAGCTGACCAGAAAACGCAGGCAGGCGTTTGAGCAGGGGTGATGGAGGAATTCATGTCAAGCTTGCACTTCTGGGAGGACTAAATATCTGCTTCTCCATCCCTCTCTCTGACCCCTTCTTCTTCTCCCTAGCCCTCTAGCAACCACGTGCCTTAGCCTGCCCTGGTATCCCCAGCATCCTTTCCGTCTTACTCTTGCCCTGCAGTGCTATGTGCATTGACATGCCAGTACCCCAGCACATCAGGCTGGCGTTTCTGGGACAGAACTGGCATGAGGCTTCCTGCTGTGAGCTGCCCAGGGCAGAGCAGGCCTTCGGGTCAAGGGCGTCTTTCACTGAGCTCCTCAGCAGCGTCTGCCACACTCTCTCCTCTTCTCTCCCCTTCCAGTGGAGAAGTGGAAGAAGGGGCACCTTGTGCCGTTGCTGGGAATCCCCAATTGCGTTGGCTTTGGACTGCATGCAGATAGCTACAGGTGAGGTGACTCTGCAAGGGCAGAGCTGAGCTCTTTTGTCCCCAGCTGCCATCTTCTTGGGCTTTTCCTCTTCTCTCCTTGCCGTCTGCTATTCCTTTTCTCATTGCTCCCTGGGCTCCTAACCTCATGCACTGCTCCTCTCCCTTTTATTAACAAATGGTTTGCCCCTCTCCTTGTCCTTGTTTCCTTCTGTCCTTGTGTTGCTGGTGCAGTCATTGCTTTTGCTGCTTCTGCCCCTCAGGCCAGGGGACCTTACTCTCCTGCCTTTAATATTAACGTAATGGGAAGATTCAGACTGCACATCTGCCGCACTTGGACTTGGCAGTGTTTGATCAGCATGTCTCTTCTTTTCTGTTATCAAAAGTTGAGGAAATGTTTGCCCAGGTCAGCTTCGAGTTGAAGGAGGGGGTCTAATCCAGGCAGATTGCTTGACGAGCGTCTGTTGCAGGGTTTCCAAATCGGGTAGGTATGGCTACACACTGAGCCCTTGTCTCTTGTAGGTTTTTGGTGTTCTCTGACTTAGGGCGAACTCTTCAGTCCATTCTGAACGATGGCCTGCATCTACTGAGGGAGAAGGCAGCTTTTCAGCTTGTAGTCCGGCTGGTAGGTAGAGAACCAGTACTTCCTAAGACTTTTTCAGAAGAAACCTATAACTTTCTTCTGGATCTTTCAAAGGTGTTTTAAAGCTGAGCCAGGGGTTTGGCTGGTGTCTCTAAGTAGCATCTCTCAAGCCTGTTGTAAACTTGAGTAGCATCTTTTGAGCAGTATGTCACCTTGAAGGAATTTGGGGTAAGGACAATGCGAGAAACCCGACACTTGGAGGCTGTGAGACATGGTGCTTTTTGTGCTGCTCCATGCCGCTGCGGGGAGCTGGGGAGGGTCCAGCTCAGTGATAGCCAGGGTGCTGAAGGAGGCTGCCTGGGTCTGATACGCTCGCCTCTTCTCTTTACTCCTAGCTGGACTGCCTGGAGTACATTCATGAAAATGAGTACGTGCATGGGGACATCACAGCTGAGAACGTCTATTTGAACCCAGCAGACCTCACGCAGGTAGGGAGCCGGAGCAGCGCTGCGAGGAAACAGCAGTGAAGGTGGGCTGGTGAAACGGGACAGAGCAGCACCCGGGTGCCTGCTGCGGGCAGGGCAGCGGTGCAGTCTGTGCAGTGCTCGAGCAGGTGCTGCGGTGCAGGATGCACTATAAACACAATTCACACCACGCACGCTCAGATGCCTGCTTCTTAATGTCTTCTAGGTGATCTTAGCGGGCTATTGCTTTGCGTTCCGTTACTGCCCAGAAGGGAAGCACGTGGCTCAGCGCGAAGGCAGCAGGACCCCTCACGAAGGCACGATAGAGTTTATCAGTCTGGACAGCCACAAGGGAGCAGGTGAGTCTTGGTTCCTGACGCAAGCTCAGCTGGAGCTGTCACTGTGGCAGCGCTCTCTGGAGCTAGGGCTCCCCGCTGGCATTTCTATTATTGCTGCTTTCCAGGCATTCGCATGCATCCAAGTTCCTGCTTGGGCTGTTTCCCCTTGCCTCTCCCTGGGCTGCTGTGTTGGGACTTGCCAGGTCACTGGGCGACTGCAGCAAGAGGTGCAGGGATGTTCCTGCTCCATCTGGAGCCTTGGCTGCTGCAGATGTGCGAGGAATAGAAAACAGGGCCGCTTTGTGCTGGCTTAGCAGGGATCTGTTTCAAGCCAGACTGGATCCCTGCCCAAAACAGATTTGCAGCAGGCTGTGCTCTGACCTTGAAGCGGTGAGGGCTGGAAAGGCATTTAAATTAGCCAGTTCCTCTCCTGGCTGGGATGTGACTGTTCTCTCCTATTGTTCAGACTGGGCGAATCTTCCTCCAGAGGCTGGATGAGTTAGCAGGCTCCCAGAAGTATCGGTATCCTAGAGCACATCTTAACGAAGCTCTTGCATTTCTTTACTTGTGCTCTTTAGACTTGTGCCCCTTCATGAGGCTGCCTGTTTTACAGACGGGGCACCTCAGATAGAGACTTCCAGGGTTGTGCAGTGAGTGCTGGAGGCCGTGCTTGCCTTCGCTTTGCCTTGCTAGCCCAGGCCTCTTCTGAGATGGCTCCCAGACTCTTATTTTTTCACATGTGAATATCTCTTCCTTCCCATCAGGACCGTCTCGCCGGAGTGACTTGGAATCTCTGGGCTACTGTCTTCTGAAATGGCTCTCTGGCTTCTTGCCCTGGTCTGATGAGCTGGACAAAGTAGAAACTGTGATGGAAAAGAAGGAAAAGTAGGAGAAATCATCTACTCTTTTGGGAAATGCTCAGCAGAAAACAGTGAGGGAGATGTTGTGACTGAAGAGAAATCACTTGGTCATAGTACGCTATTGGGGCGTGGGTAAATCCCACTGTAAAGGCTGAGCCTGACCAAAGGGCGTTTGATGAGCCCTGATTTCTGCTCCATTCAGAACGTGGCCATCTGAATTCAGCCTTTTTTTTTTGTCCCTATTGCCAAAGACAGGCTGTTGGGGTGCCTGCTCCACTGCTTCTCATCTGACAGCACTCTGCACTGATTATTCCAGGTACAAAAAGGATGTGAAATGTCTTCTCCGACTGTGCTTCAGGCAGAGATCCATTCCAGGTATGGGCTCGCTCCCTGCAACAGCGGGACTTGGGGAGGGAGGATTGACTGTACCTGAAGCTAGAACCTTCTCTGTGCTGGGGTGCTAGTCCAGGGTGGCTTCCACTGGCAGTGGTGACCAGGCATTGCACAGACTGGTTGCCGAGCTCCTCCTGTGAACAAATTCCATGTTTTCTTTACAGCGAAACGAGGAGGGCTGCTACCTGTTTTCTGTATTCATGAGCCTTGCTGAAGAGACAAATGTTCTAGTGGCTTTAAAAATGCAGTATTTGGGGCCAGAGGTTGTTTCCTCATCCTGTCTTTGAGCTTCATGTTAGTCTTTGGTTTTGTTTTCCGCTCTCTGCCACTAGCCCGGGCCGGTAGGTGAGCTGTCTACAGGGAGGGTGCCCCGAGCGGGCCGTTTGGCAGCTCTGTGAGCACAGCTGGGGTTGCTGTGCTGCTCCATGCAGTGATGTTCCTTGCTTTGCAGATGCCCTTCAGAGCTACCTGCAGCAAGTAATGGCACTGGAGTATGACGAGAAGCCTGACTACGAGGCTCTGCGGCAGCTCTTCAAGAAGCCACTGGAAAAGATGAAAGCTTCAGCTTATGACTCTGTGGATATCAAAGTGGTGCCCTAAGTAAGTGCCAGTAGTTCAGACTGCAGGGGCACAAAGCGCTTGTCCCCTGTCCTGCTGGGAGCAGGAGGTGAGGATGGAGCAGGGTGGTCTGAGATCTCTCCTGGGGAGGCCTAGGGGCACCTCCTGACACGTGGAGGGAGGGAGGGAGGAGGGGGCACCGGCCCTTCAGCGTTCCCTACTAAGGGATCAGTCCAGTGCTACACAAAGCTAGGTTTAGCCTGTGTTACAGCATAGGTTTCCTCAATTTTTTCTGGAAATACTTATCCCTGGAGGAATACAAGGGTTAATACAGGAAAGGCTGAACAGTCTGCAGGGGTATGGAGGTGCTAGCAAAACGCAGACTGATGCAACCCGGTCCTTTTTTTCATTTTTTTTAAAAAGAACCAAGGCTCTGGGCTCTCTCTTTTGCTTTTTCTTTTCAGAAAGTAGCTTCTAGTTCTGCTTCTGTTGCCTCCAGCCTGTGGCAGTAAGTGGTGGCTCTCTCGGCCCATGTGCTCAGTTTTATTCATGAGGCACCTCCAAGATTGAGGCTTGATACAGACAGATCTGGTTTTAGTCCAGGGCTGCACCAGCCAAGGCCGCTGGATTAAGCAGCAAGCCCCAGGAAGACTGAGCTAGCTCCTCATCACCTAATTTACTCTTCCTGGGAAGGAACTGAACTGATCAATGTTCCTATATTGTGCCTTTTCTTTCAGATCAAGAAAACTTGCACAGGAAAAGTGTGCAAAGCTTTCTGCAGCATGCAGCCTTTCCTGCAGATATTTAACTTTTACCTACCTGTTTTAGAATGGAGAGAGGTTTTTATAAGTGTTTTCTTCCAATTTTAATGTGACCTAATGCTGAATTTGGAGCCACTGCCGTAACAATGTGAAGACACTCCTGTATGGCAAGTCATTGGAAGCAGTCGCTGGAGAACTGCAACGTAGCCACTGGAAGAAGGGTGAAGCTTGGCATAGAAAAACTAAATCAGGGATATATTTTTTTTTTTTAAACTACAGTGGCAGTACATAGTTTTGTAATAAACTTTGTGGACAAGCACCCAAGGCTGCTGTTAGTTGGTTATTTGGCACATTCAAGGCCTTTCTCTAGGCTCTCCTGGGGCTGCTGTAGAGCTGTGCTGGTGGTTTGAGCCCTGTGCTGGGTGTTCTCCCAGCTCCTCCTGTTAATGTAAATACCTTACAGGCAGTCCCACCTGCCATGTAATTGTAAGAACTTGGCTCAGAGCTAAACTCTGGCTTCATCCCCAAACATCCCATGAGTCCCCCAAGCCAGTGAAGTAGGTGAGTGGGATACAGTCATTGAAGTAAGACAGGGAGCCATCTATATTAAAAAAAAAAAGTTTTATAAAAAAAGTCACTACACTCTGTGTGTATCTGAACTGTTGCCATCTGCCACAGTAACTTCTAAATAAAGGAAGAGTCATGGAGTCCAGTTCCAGTGTTCAAGTCAGTGACATCTCCTGGAAGTCTCGTACCTTGGTATTCCCATGCTCGCTACCTGTTTGTAGAGAAGGCTGTTTTCCTAACATTCACAGGCTGAAGGAGCTTTAACCCAGGCTTGCTAGGCTGAGGTCAGTGGAGGTGGTTTCTTCAAACTGTTATTGAAGCAGCACGGATTTCATTTTAGGTAAGAAAAGCATATGCTGCCCGTGTAGATTAGGAGCCAGTAGCAAGGCTGAAGTGAGGGCTTTCAGTATGACAAGCTGTCTGCCCTTACGGCATTGCTGCCCCTTTCTAGTGTTCAAGTGATTTGTGCTTTCCTTGAGGACATGCTAATGGAAAGAGCAAGGAAGACTGTGCGAGACAGAAGTGAAATGGAGCCACTGGCTGGAGGTGGCAGCGCAACCAGCAGAGACTGACAGTGCGCAGAGATCACTTTATGTCCTACGGGGCAGTGAAGCGTTAAGGCACAGGAGGAAGATTTCTTTCAGGCAAGGAAAACATGGCAACTAGAGCCTGAGACAAATGGGGTTAAAAACCATCGGAGAAGTAGGTAAGAAGAGCTCAGAGCTGCAGTGAGCCCTCATTTACCTCTTGATTGTATCCATAAAAACCTTGTATCAGTGCAGCAAACAGTATAGACATAGAAGAGGGAAGCACCAGCTGAGTGAGACGGTGCCTGGCCAGAAGGAAAAGGCAGCACAACCTCAAAAAGGTCTTTCAAGTGGAAGAATTCAAGCATAGTGTTACATCCAGTAACTTGAGAACCAAAGTCAATTCCTGTCTTTTATAGTGCCAGGCCTCACAGCAAAGCAAGGGACGCGACAAGTTCTTTTCTACCACCAAGGAGAAACTGGTGAGGTATGACAAAAGTGAGCTATAAAGTTTCATATGTGGAGAAGAATCTTAATTTGCAGAGGACCAGACAAGGGGGAATACTTTAAAAAGGCAGCTATCAAGGAAAGAGACAGCCCAGAAGTGAGCTACAGAATTACAAGATAGGTGCAGGCAAAGTTGAGGGGAAGGGCTCTTTTTGGAGGTATTGACGATTATTCACTATCATCCCTGTATGACTACAACAGAAATACTGTTTCCAGGAACCCTAGGAAAGTAAAGAGCATGAAGAAATCAGAGGCTTAAGAAGCCCAAGTTCACCCTTTCTTCACTGTGTTCTGCCACATTTTTTCGCTTGACTTGCCTTCTGTCACGCTTGCTGTCACTAGGCCTGGCACAGACTGACTGTAAACATGATTCCAAGTAATGAGGCAGGCATGGCTCCCTGTTCGTGGCACTGCCGAGAGACAGTGCTGAGGTAGGTTTGAGAGGTACTCTGAGGCTGCCTTCTACAGAAGATGTAGGACTGGCACTGTTGACAGAAGAGTAGCCTGAGCTCCCTTCCAGGCTGGGATTTTTTGGGGTGAGATATGCTGAAAGGCTGCGAGCGTCATCCAGAAGCTTAGCCTCCCTCAGCGGTGCCGCGTGCCCGGCCCACTCTGCGGCGAGGTTGTCTTCGTCACTGGAGTCCTGACAGCAGTGCTCCGCAGGATCCATGTACACCACCGTCACGTCCAAGATCCCACTGGGACCTGTCACTGTGGAGTGATAAAAGGAAAAGGTTAGTTTTGATTTGGGCAACACCAAGCAGGCATTCAGCACAGAATCAGGCAGAAAAAAAACCAAGCAAGAGCATAAACCTTGTGTCTACTTACACACGGAGGGGAGGGTAGAGCACTAAGCTCACCCTCTACTAAAACCGTAACTCTGCCCCCCTCAGGATGTTTGGGTCAGTACTAAGAGCTGTTCAGTAAACGAACAGGTAACGCAGTGTTTCTGACTCCGTGGGCTGTTCGTCACATTTGGTCCACTACCAGAGACTGAAAACAGTCTCACTCTGAAACACTAAGCAGCTACAAACCCCTTCATCACATTCTGAAGCAGCAGAGAGAAAGAGAACAGATATACACCTCCAAAATAGTTTTAACAATTATAACCACTGGGGAAGGGGAAGAGTTTTTCCAACGGGTCTTCCGCTGAAAGCTCAGGCTTCTGTTGCCTGAGGAACAGTTTTAAGCAAAGATGAAAAGACAGTTTTAATTCTCTTGTCTGCTTTTTATAAGAATGAAACCCTCACCATCTCCATCTCTCTCGCCTTCACTTTCCTGATCACCTTCATAACCAGAGCAGGAATCTAAACTCCAGTCTAGGAAGTTATCGAGAAGACTTTCCTCCTGGGTGGAGAGCTCCGCTGTGGGCGTAGTCACAAAGCTGCCTCTGTCATCCTGAATGCTGTCTTCCCTCCTCCTGTAGTAAGAAAATCCAGAAGTCACACATTAAAAGCCAAGTCTTCTTTTCTGGCTCCTTTAATAGGTATGTCAAGGTAATTAAATATTGATCAATTTTTCTGTAAGAACAACACCTCAGGGTACCAGAGAGGAGGAGAGGCTCACACTACTCTTCAGAGACCTTTACAGTGATGAGTTATACTAGCCTTTTAGTTCTCTTTCCAGAGGGAGAGCTAAGGAAAGTCTGGATTTCCACCACGTTCGTGTGCAAGGGACTGGGCTCCGGGTCCTCCTGTTTCACACCCAGCAGTGAACAGAGCTGGCTGTAACTCATCATCTAAAAAAATCAAAGAGCCAGTAAGAATTAGACCATGAGATTTCCCAGAAGGAATAAATAGCCAGAAGGAGCCTATTTATCTTTATTTTCTAGGAGAAATCTATCCCAGTGAGTTCTTCCCATGCGTACTCAAACAGAGCAGTCATAGTCCCCGCAGATCAAGTTTAAAACACTTTAAAACACTTTATTTAGATATTCTGTCCTCCAGAAGTCTGGAGTCAGAACCCACTTCCCATGATTTGAAGTTTACTACATCGTCCCATATGGTAGCTTTGGTCTCGGTGTCAGACATCAGCAAATGAAGGCAAAGAGCTAACCCACCTTTTCTTTGCCTATTTCTTCATAACGCTCATCTTCAAATCGTTGTTTCACTGCAGTTAAGGACACCTGCCTGTAATCCTTTGGGACATCGTCGTGGAAACTGGAAAGATTAAAGCCCCAATCTTAGGATGGATTATAGGAAACAATGTTAACAAACCCCGCCAACTTAAGTACTTTCCCTCTGTCCATCTCTGCTCTGTGCTAAGGAAGTTGGTGTTTGAGCAGAACTGCTGAGCAGTAGCCAGGACACTTGGTTCCCAAGCATGTGAGCATCCAATTCCTTTTCTGTTCCTTAGGGTAAACAAGATATTTGCCTTGTACTCTTTAAAAAATGAGCTACTTCTGCTACTGGAACTCCTTCTGAAGCTCACCAATAAGCCAGCTGAGGTCTTCTGAAAGTAGTGCTGTTTGGCAAGCTGAAAGCTGTTAAGCCTCAAAAGAGCATCACCTTTTCTGTAACCCAGGACCACTACCAGTTGTGAGAAACAGAACCGCTGCCCCCAAGCTGGCGCCCAGGCCTTCGTGCCTTGTGGCAGGGGAGCAAGGCAGTTTCCCAAACCCACGCCCTTCACTGGGAAGGGCTGACTGTAGGGAATGCAGCCTGTCTGCAACAAGCCGGAGTCCAAGTACTCATGTGCCCTCCCAGAAGAGTTCCAAAACTATTACCACTTTTGGTGGAGGCTTAGCACACAGGGCAACAGGTCTTCAAGGGAGAAACCGGTGCACTCAGACAGTTGGCTGGTCCAGGGGTGTGCTGGGGAAGAGAACACATATTACCATTTCATGAAGCTCGGTAGTTCTGTAATCAGACAGATTTTTTTAATGGGATAAAGATCATGATCTCTACAAGCTTATGCCTGCAGACAGCTCGTTCAAGTTCACAACTAGCTTCCAGGATAGGTTACCTGCCAAACTGAAGTTACACTTCAGTACAGAAATCTTCAGTCGCATTTAAAGACAAAGCTTGCATAGTCTGATGCTAATACTCTTGTTCATTGTAGCTATTAAGAGGTAAAATAGACTGAACACAACTCTTCATTATGAAGTCTTAGACTTGGCCCTCTCCTCCCCCCAGAGTGATTGGGACATCTTGCCTAAAGACATAGAAACACCAAAAAAACCCCCCAAAACCTCCCTAAAAGGACACGGCAGACTGGCATGCCCTGCTGCAGCTCCACGGAAGAGGCTGCTCCTTACCTTGCCTGTGCAGTATCTTCGCCAGCAGCAGCGCTGCAGCAGCCAGCCGAGCTGGGGAGTACACGCAAAGGCTTGTGTTTAAGAGTGATAGTTCACAGATGAAGCTGTACAGGTGAAGAGTTCTTCTCTCCAGAGAGACTACATGTGACAATACTTCTTTGTAGTCCACAATGGTTGGTATCTGGTGCATAAGGAGAACAGAGGTTGGTGATACAAGACGAGCACCAAGCATTTAGAACAGTTGTTTCCAGGAGATGCTGTTTTCGTTACACCTCCCCCCGTTTTCTTTTTTAACTACTACATGGACATTGAAACACTCTCCAGTGAAAGAATAAATGGCCTCTTAAAACTTAAGTTTTAATCTCTACAGAAAGGCAGAGGGTTTTGCATCTGCATGCTGTCCACAGCTGATTGAGGACACTTGCATAAAACCCCAACATCTTAGATAAGAAGTGCCAGTTACAACAGCCTGACTTCAGTAGCAGCCCAAGGGGTGAAATATTTCATCCACTTTCCAAACTCACCCTTATCTTTCCTTCTAGGGCAGAAATTATCTCGCCCATCATTCTGACCAAGTCTTCATATTTGTAGGTGTTGTCCGTTAGCCACACAGCTTCCCGTATTGTCAAGATCTCTTTGCTGATGAAACTGCAATATTAAATATTATTAACCGTTAACCCCAGAAGAAAGGGAATTTCTGCACCCGCGCACTCCTGGTTTTGCAGCAGATAAATGCACCCAAGATGACCAAAGAGTTAAAGAACTTCATAAGGACCTTTCCCAGGTACTGACCAGGAAAGAAAGAAAGAGCAGCTCTTCATTTATTTCACCTTTAAGCTGGAACCACCTACTACTAGAACATTCCTAATTCCTCATTTATGAAACCTCACCTAGGTTAAGACCCAAGATATTAAGGGAACTAACACAGATTTATAATTTTCCACCACACTGTGCTGTTCCTCTGAGCATACCAGACTAAGCTAGGTAACAACACCACTGCAGTTGTTCCTTACAGAATTACTCATGCTAGTATGGCATGAAAGACTTCAGTTGCTGATGGAATGCATTTAGACCAATCCACCACTACAGAGTTTTTTCATATTCAAAAATATGTTAAAGAAATAACATTTTGTGTCTTGTTTGCAGAGATTCTGAGTGTTTTTATGCAAACACAGTTCAAGCAATGCAGAGGGAAGCCCAAGATTTTTTTTTCTAGTATTATTATTAGCAAGGGGGGAAAAAAGCTTGAGCCGCAGAAACTAAATTTGAGTGATCACAATAACCACCTCTGTTCACCGGTCAGAACCCCTACCGTGTGCAAATGACCATGCAGGCTATTCCCAAAAGTTGTAGTCGAGCCCGAGGTACAGGTCTCAGCTTCAAATAACGATCCACACATCCCACTGTCATGTGAAGGCACAGGCTAGAAAAGTCTTTCATGGTAGCCACTTCTACCAGCCAATCAATCAGGATGTACCTAGACAGGAAAGAGATGCTCTGTGCAGTTAGAAGCCACCCAAACCCGTGCTGAACACCTTCCCCACACCCAGTTACCGAGCCTCTTCTCCACTCAAAAGCTCCAACCAAGAAATTAAACCAAAAGGATTTTCAGAATAATGACACGTTGCACTGAGATAAGGACTTTCAACCAGAGGCCTGTTACCCTCTGAAGGATCAACTGTCTTCTTAAGTTGTCTGTGAAATGGAGTTAGAAGCTAACCTGTAATTAACAGGCACAAGGAAAGGGGTAGGGGCATATCAGCTAGGAGGCTAAAGGCCACCCAAGATAACTGGAGAGTAACTATACCTCCAACGAGTCAAACTGCCTCTAGTTCTTGAAGTGCTCATTAGCCTTGACAGATGCAAGACATTACACTCCTCATTCCAGTGCTTCATCAGGGCTTGAAATAAGGGCTCTAATACTTCCTCTTTGCAAAATGTCACGTGTTTCTCTGATTGTACATAATGCATCACAGAAGAGTAAAGCAAAAGATGCCATCTTCCAACAGACCTCTTTCTGGATTTATTTCCCTCTACAGATGTAGAGGGAAACAGGCCCTGGTTTCTGCTGTACAGCCTGACTCCCAGATATGAGTTTTTACCTCATGGTTTCATTCATTCCTTTCTGCACAGTGAAGATACTTTGCTTGCTGATAGGAAGGGAAGCTTGAAAGATTTGAGACACCATTTCACTGGAAGATTTTGCTTCTAATCCTAGCTGGTTTCCATTCCCACAAGCTTTGGCTAAAGCTATCTGTAGTAGAGAGAACACAAAAGAAAGTTGGGGATTTTTTTATGCATATGCAAACTAAAGCAGCACAGGACGGTTCTGTAATTTTGCTGCTGAAAACAGAGAGTGAACGTGACTAACTGCTTGAAAGGTAACAGAATCGGTAGTTCTTAGTTTGGCTTAAATGTTGGATGCACACATGATTTGGGGGTAGGCTTTTCAGTCCATCAAAAGATGCATCCTTACTTGGGTTGTGCCACAGATATGCAGTATTTTCCAAAAGAGGGGGATTTGCAGAGTAAATACACGCACACATACATAGATATTATTCAGCAATTTTGACTCTGCTTCTAAAGAGAGAAGTCTAAGCCCACAAGGACAGCATAGGAAAGACCAAATGAAAACAGTTTTCATGGGAAAAGTCAGTCTTACCTGTGCTTCCCAGCAGCCCTTTGCTGCGTAGTCCCGTAGCTTCCTGAGACTTTGGAGGTATCTGCCAGGATCTGACATCTACAGGGAGGAATGTAAACAGATTTCAAAACCCATTACCTTTACACAACAAACAGAAGGATTGTAGTATTAATATCCGGAGGAAAAAACCCACTGCCTGTGGGTACATAGAATATTTCAGCAACCAGTCTGTTTCTCATCACGACGAGAGCATTGTTTTTAGGACACTTTCTTCAGTTCTTGCCCAAGGTCTCACAGGCAACGAGACACATCACTCGGGATTCCAACACAAGAGCTTTGGCAGGTTTATTAATGACAACGCAGGCCGTCTCCCCGCTGCTGTTCCCAAGGAGCCATATAGTCACTAGCCAGCAGTGCCTACGCCTTTAGCAGAGTTAGTATAAAGGAACTTCTGCTTGCACCTCAGCTACAACTGCTCGTAGACAAACTTACGTTAAACACCAAGGCAAAACACCAAAGCTCATTTGAGAGAGTTCTTAGTGCTCTCCTTGTTTAGGAAGAGGGTAAGCTCTGAGGAACAGCGATTTCCTTCTGTGTGTGTTCATTGCACATAACAGAGGGCCAAAAGTTACAGTGAAAAGTTGTTTTGAGATAAAAAAATACCACTTACAGCAGCCTTTCTGTTACTTTCCCAAAGGAGGTAGGAGCTGTTTAAACAACCCTGCCTTGAAGACTCTTCAAACATTTCAAGGGATTCTTTTCTTTTTTCTTCATCCTAGGAACAAAAGGCATGACGGTATTTTGGCTGTCCAGCCAACTGGGTGCCAGATCAAAATACTTCAGAAGCTACAGAGCAGAATCAACCAGCTGCAAGTCCCCTTCAGACTATGAGGGGCGCTCCCGCATCCACTCCGCGCTGGCATTTGAGGATCCAGGCGCAGAAAGCAGTCAGCGGTTTTCCTCAGCTAGACAAAAGCTTTTTGGCTTGCTTGCCACTGAAGGATTTGTTTTTTATGGGCATGCATTATGACTGGAAGGCTTCCTTTGAGACCTCGAAACACTGCAAGCCCATGATCAAGCCCAAATTAACTTTACTGTTTGTAAAATTCAATAAACTAGGTTGATAATGTTCCTTTAAACAGCCAGTACATTAAACTCACGAGAACAGAAATTCCTAGGCCACTCGAGGAATATAACAGCCTTTGGCTGATTTTTTTTTTTTTTAATCAGGGTAAATAACATTAGCATCACCAAAAAGTACCCAAACACATCAAATTAGAAACACTGCTCACCTCAAAGAGACTCAAGACCTTAGCCAGGCAGTGGAGAATAGATCCTTTTTGAGCCTGAAGAAAGTATTAGATAAAGCATTGTTAAAGATAAACAAAGAACAATAGCAATTTTTGCTAGTAATTCCAGACTACAATCTTGCTTGCCTTTCAGTCATTCCTCCCCCTTGCTTCTCTCAATGTTTTGTGATCTTTGAGACAGTACTGAATCTCTCAGAAGAGACAGTACAGGCCTCTGGCACTCACGATATACCAAGTGTAGTTTGGCAATAAATTAATTAAAACGATTGATCCACAGTCATTTAAGCAACAAAAGCATAGGAGCCCCTTGGGGAAACAGAAATATTTTTTCCAAAATAACTAGATGCAGCTACTAGCCTACGTTAAAGTTGAGGTCAGAAAGAAATCTTACTTTCTCCAGCTGACACTCTGCTTTGAGACTCTCGTAGACCACAGCTTTACAACAGCTTCCACTCAAGGACCAGGGAGGACGGATAAAAAGCCAGATAAATGGGGCTGCGCACAGGTTCAAACGCTCCGCCAGACTGAAGAAATGAGATGCCTTTAATCCATTCACTTCTGCACGACCCTCGTCAGAGATGGACACTGAACAAAAGAAAGTCAGAAATAGTTTTGAGTTTATTCACAACGCGTGCTTGGCATTTAGTCAGGCCAAGACAGACAGTAGGACACCACCAAGAAAAGACTGAACAGTGTCTTCCCTTTAGAGCCTTAAATCATGGAGATGGCAAAAGAAGAAAAGTCTTGCTACAATCAGTCTTTAGGAACATACGACCCTAAGCTGGGGCAGAGGGGTGTTCTGCAAATACCAAGAGGCAAAGAGATGTTAATTCCTGCCAGCGTACAAGCAAATCGGTATGCAAGTCACCTGCCTTGCCAGCCCTCTCTGCAAGGAGGCCCCTACTGCCGGCTGACAGTCCCTTCTGTTACTTCTATCAGACTAGGTAAGCAGCCAAGTTTGATCAGGAGTTTACAAAGGGTAACTTCTAAACACGAATTCATAAGCTACGCATTGACTACTTCTCTAAAAGGCCTGTGCACAACACATCACTTAACACCTGGCAGCTTAGCGGCCAGTGCTTGAGCTGCACTGAAAGCTAAAACTGAAGAGGCACGATAGTAACCAGACACTGCAGGCAGCAAGCTGGCTCTGAACGTCACTGCTCTAGGGCCCAGGTACAGAAGCATCAATGTTTGAGATGCAGGAGAAATAGCTTTGTAAGCAGCCAGTGAAAGTGCCAATGTTACAATGAGACAATTAGTCTGATCTGTTATCTATAAATAAGCCTTTAGCTCATCTGTATCTCCTTCTATCACACCATCTTCTCCAAAGACCCAAGTAGAACAAGCTTCCACACTTACAGCCTTCATTGTACAGGTACGCTATCCCCAGCTTCACAGCAGCTTCAAAGTTACCCCTTTCAGCAGCCCTGAATGGGAAACAGAGAAGATACTTGAGGTTAAAATCAGTAGGTGCTTCCAGGCCCACATCTCAAACCAGTTACTTCAGTGGAGGCCAGGCTGTGAGTCTGGTGATCACCAACCAAAGCATATGTGCTTTCACTACAGAAGCTAAGCATAAGTTATGATTTTTTATTATTTAAGTCAAGTTTTTCTTGCTGCAACCCTTCCGTATGCCAATGTCCAGGATAAGTGGAAAACTCATAGGAACCATTTCCCATTCCCATGCAACATCCCCAGCGCCAGAATGCAATAACACATTTTGGTACTTCTACCCTCAAGGAGGTGCATCAAGCCCTTGTGCTCCTCCCTTCCAAACTGATGTGCACATAATAGTCGTCTTCAGTGAAAACATAGTACGTGCATCAAAGAAGCAACAGTCAGAAGCAAAACAATTGTCATGACAATTAAACTGATGGATCCCCTTCAAATCGGATGGATAAAAAGATGCTCTCCCTCCTTTTTAAGCAGATTTAATATCACCCTTTCAAACTTCGCTTGTTTTCGTACTGAAATTTACATCCTTTTCAATACACTGGTTTGCACAAGAAGTGGCCAAACCAACTCAGAGATATGGTGATGCTCTTGAGCCTGTTTTCACTTGCACATTCATATGGAAGCGCCAATAGCAGGCTTTAGTTGATCTGCTATGTTCCCATATGGACTATTAATGCCCTTAAAGAGAAATAACTTCAGCATATGCAATGGGCCCTGCTCCAGTTAAAGAGACAACGGTTATAAACTGCAGCTTAGACATGAAAGCAACAATTCTTCATCACCCTAAGCAAAGACTTCTATAAAAAGGTAAAGTCAGATGCCCCACTTGCAGCGAAGACTGATTAGAACTCTATATCCACCTTCACACATCCTCCTCTGCAACACCAGACAAACTTGATTCTTAAAGCTTACCTTTCAAACATCTTCAGATTGTTTGGAGAAGGCCATATCTCCTGGAAACTTGCACATGCCCAAACACTAGCATGATTATCCACAAGGTATTTAAGATGCGAGTGCACCTGCAAGGGGGGAGCGTAAAATAATTGTTACTAAAATAAAGGGACCACCAGAAAAAATAGTTCTTTGCAATCTAATTTTAGATAGGTAACTAATCACAAGTTAATCATAATTCGTTACCTGCCTAATCATCATGAAGGCAAGAGGTGCCAAACCAAGCTGATTTGGTCAGCCACAGGGACCTAGCAGGATAATTCCCCAGAAAATTTACACAGAGCACTCAAATGTTATTGCTAATCTTCTTAAGCTTGAGTACTGAGAAATAAAACTGCTACTGGGATAGCAAAAAACCTAATTAATTCCTGCATATATTCTTTGGTTTTCTTCAGGGTTATGCTGACAGGAGAAGCCAGCCTTGTCCATGTGCAGTCCTGGCTCCTAGTGGCAGAGAGAAGCCACGGCACATGACAGCGGGGAAGCAGTAGCGGACTCACAGCTCTGACTAACAGCGTCAGGACTCGGGGCCGTTTTCTTATCCTTCGCTTTGAAGGGAAAGAAAAGCACCTGGAACATCTACAGTGAATCACTGGAAAACAAAAACATGGGACACCTCAGTTAGCGATGGAACAGCACGAGGAAAGAAGGCACCAGAGTGTACACATGCGGGAAGAAGCCTTTACTAGAGCACCTGTTTCCTGCAGCACAGGACACTTCTTAAAGCATACTGATCATGGAGAGATTTAGCATGTGCCACCTAACGCTGTCAGACTAAGCCACAAAGCAGGGACTCGTTCAATTGAGTCAATTAAGCCAAGAGGCTCAGAAGGGACGGCTCATGCTCAAGCTCTCTTCATTGAGGAGAACCCCTCCATGCCCTAACTCCACCGTTTGACTGTGTTTACTTCAACTGTCACTACTACAACTTCATTTAACCTCCCACACACCCCAACTTTTCCTTCTCAATTGATAGCCCTCCTTGGAACACGACCAGAGCGATTAGGAAGTTACGACCCACCAAACCAGCTCAAGCCAAAAGCCTGTCTCTGTAAGCAGCCAGTTGCTGCCATGGGTGCTCATGGAAGATCCCCAAGAACCAGGAAGCCTTTTTTTCCCCCCCAAGTTTCAGCACTGCATAGCATTTGTAGACTAAGGCATCACCTACATCTTCTGTTCCTCATTAAGACGAGGTTTACCCTCGCTGCATTTGCCAAGAGAGGAAAACGATCTAACAGATGAAGGCATATCCAAGGAGAGCACATGAGAACCGCTCGCTGGTAGAGACTCATACTCCACATAGAAGGTGGGTCCCACCAGAAATTCAAATCAGTGAAAGGTGCCAGGAGGGGGAAAAACCCAACAAATTGCCCACCTGCAAGTGGCAGCAAAGGGTCACCCTCCCAGAGTGGTGCTTGGGTAGGAGGACCCAAATCAGTGCGGGTTCATGCTGTGCCTTTCGGAGCCTTCCCATGTAACGGTGGAGATGCCAGCACTGCTCATTCCCCTGTCAGCCTCTTGTGGCTCTCAGGAGCAGTCTGCACAAGCAAGGGAGGCCCATTCCTGAGCCAGAAAAAGGCCAAACATTTTCTTTGCAGACACGAGGGCACAAAAAAATAAATTCTGGAGTGAAAGCTTGAGTCCCACAAATTAAAGGAGCATGGAAGGGCCTTAGTCTTTATCACAGAAGATTTCTTGGCTGTGTTTTCCAAATGTGGTTTAAGTCTTACACAGAGATTATACTTAGGAAATTTATTTACTGACTTTTTTCTAAAAAAATAAAAGACACAGACTCCACCAGAGAGCCCAACACTGTGCAACACGCACATTCTAGCATTGCTCACCCTATTTTCGCTCGTTCATTATTAGTTTGACTGTTTTGACATAAATGGAAACAGTAAAGCCAAAGCAGTCGTGTGATACCTGTACCAAACCTCCCCATGTTATCTGCGAAGCAAACCAAGCCAGAGCTGTGTAGGCTCACTAGATTATAGGGTCAAAGGCATCAGCTGAGAGAATGAGGCAGCTCTCAAGTTCTTTTTTCACAATGAAAGTAGAAGGTGGCCAAAAAGTCAGGGTGAGGATAGAGAATTTTAATTAAGCAAGTATTTTTTTCCATTAATATGTTTTCCCCTTTTGCCTGCT